GGCGATTGGAAGAGCCTCAATGGGACTCTGGTTTAAAAATTAAAGGGCGGTTCAAATCAAGTCAGAAACGTTACGCACCCCGACCGGCAATAGTAGCAGTGGCACAGTGACCCAGACCACAGCGACAACCGCTCCTGCTTCCAACTCGGGAGCTCAGGGCTGGTCAAGCAAGCTTTCTGAGGCTGGATTCATCGCTTTGGCCGTCACCTTCGGCATGGTCGCCTTCCTATAAGTTCGGTTCCGAATAGATAGGGAGCTAGTTGTATATATGTGGTGGCCTGGCATTGCTGCAAGACAGAAGTTGCCGCCTTTGATGTTTAACAAAAAGACTTGGGCTCTTCCCGATGCTGTCATTACTTGCCCGCCTTTCTGGGTTTGTTCACATTAGTCTTCCTCGGGATGTCCATCCTTTGTAATAAAAGCTGCTACTTTTTCTCTTCCTTGCGCTTGCGTGCCCATTCTTTAACTCTGGCGAGCCGTTCAGCTTTGATTCGTTGCTCGTCTGTTTGCTGTTCGGTTTCATCCTCCTTGTAAGTGACGAGACCACTTGGTGGTGCAACTACTTTTGGAGGCGCTGTGGTAGGCTGTGTACGTGCACTTGCTTTGACTTCTTCCCACTTGTTCTTCCAGCGACCTCGTAGAAAGGCAAACCGCGGGTCTTCACCGTGGTTGGCCAGTATCCTCATCTCAAACTGGAGAGCATTTGGGGATGAGACGATGTGCGCTGCTGTCTTTTTCATTAATCGCAACTGCGCATCGTCGGGCTAGTCGAATACCGTTACGAGCTATGATGGAACTGAGGAAAGAATCTCTTACCTCTTCGTTAGGGTCCAACTCAGTTGAACCTGAAGCTTCCTCTGTATCTTTGACTTTCATGGCCGCAAGTCGAGCCTCATGCGCAGCATCCATGAGCTTACGCTTCTTCTCTCGTCTGATGTCGTCTGCCTCTTCTTGACTGAAGAAGAAGAGGTCCTCTGCATCAGAAGGAAGATCGTCCCAACCGTCTTCTCTATCTACCTCTATAGCTTTCACTGAAGATTTGGGCGCTGAATGAAGTAATAACCGAACGTCATATCTGCTGAGAAGTTTAGTAAACGGCACAGAATTGTACGCAGCTAAAGTTCTTACCTGTCTGTTGATATAGTCTTGCCAGTCCAAGGGACAGTCCATTCTATTAATCCAGTCGTATTTACCCCGTCTGACCTGCTATTGGAGAACCTGACTTGACGCTGGTGGGTGGTTGGCAAGATTGTAGCCTCGAATGCTTGCAATCCGAGTCTTTCTATAAAGCTTGAATTATCTTGAGAGCTGTCAATATGTTCACGTTTTCGTTTGTGACCTGTATTGGAGGACATAATTGAGATGGCAGCATGTGGCCTGAGCTCAACCCAACCACAACCTCGACCGAGCCACTCTTGACCGCGCTCTTCTATGGACGAATGCCTCCTCTACCGCAGAATATAACCATGAAGAGGCGGATAAGCCATGATGGAAAACGAAAATATGATGTGCCGCAGAAAAGGGAGAAGTTTTCGTCAACTGGACCAAAAACATGGCTACTTGTTGGGATCCTGGCGGTCATTTGGTTATTCACTACACTTGAACGCAACATTAAACTAAGAAATGGGCTGAAACTCCGGAATGAAGGACAGCAACATCCCACAGAAGAGGCGAACGTCCTCCGGGACAATGGGTTGACAAAGGATGTCCAATGGGATAAATATAGTCTCTTTATCAAAGGTCAAAGAGTCTTCCTTTGGTCAGGAGAAATCCATCCTTGGCGTATTCCAGTCAAATCCCAGTGGCTCGACCTACTGCAAAAAATTAAGGCCAGTGGTATGAATGCTATTTCAATCTATGCCCATTGGTGAGCGGAAACGAAATGGCGACTCAGATTGATTGAATGTTTCCGAATAGGGGTCTTCATAACCCTTCCCGGGGCGTTCTAGACTTTGACCACTGGCGAGATTGGCAACCTTTTCTGGATATGGCTAAAGCTGTAGGGCTTTGGGTAGTCTTCCGACCTGGTAATGTGCCGCTTATGCTTCATTTATACCTTTCTAATATTCGATAGGTCCTTATATTAACGCTGAGACCACCGGAGGAGGCATCCCAGGTAAGGAGATTTTGCCCAGATGAACCTACAGCTAACATGTCTATAGGTTGGGTTGTCGCAGAAGTAGCAGGAAATCTGAGAAGTAATAATACGGATTATCATGAAACATGGGCACCATATATTGCAGCTGTCTCAGAAATCATCCGGCGCAATCAGATTACGGAAGGAGGTCCTATCATTGCCGTTCAGGCAGAAAACGAGTATACCGATAACCCAAAGTACGGGCCACCTTTCAAAGCTGAGATGATGGAGCAGCTTCGCAAGGCTTTCATTGATGCAGGGGTCGTAGTCCCGTTAACCCACAACGACGCCGGTATGAATGGCTACTACGTGAATGGCACTGGTTCACCAGATTTATACGGTTTCGACGAGTACCCTCAAGGTTTTGATTGCACTCACCCATCAACATGGGGCAATCTAACAAAGAACTACCATGAGTATCATACTCGTGTGTTTCCGGATTCCCCACTCTACATACCAGAGGCCCAGGCGGGTGCCTATGATCCATGGGGCCCTTCATCCCCGTAAGTAAGGTACATATGTACGAACGCAACTGATAGAGTTTTACATAGGACATATGACAAGTGCCGCCTATTGACAGGCCCGTCCTTCCAAAATATTCTGTACTATCATATGCTCGCGAGCAACGCAAAGATGATCAACTTGTATATGATGTACGGTGGGACATCATGGGGTAATCTTCCCTTTCCAGGTGTCTACACGTCCTATGATTACGGGAGTCCAATCAGGGAGTCGAGATCTCTCAGCGACAAATACCTACATCTTAAATTGTTGGGACTTTTCCTGCGGAGTGTCCCAGATTTCTATCAGACGGATGTTGTCAGTATCTCGAATCTTGGAGCGGACAATAATCAGCAAAGTCCGATGCATATTCATCTGCGGAATCCGATAACTCGGGCCAGATTCCATTTCATTCGGCACAAAGATGTCTCTTCCAAGTATGTTCTTACCTCGTGCTTTAACCTGTACTGATATAAGATCCAGTACTTCGCTCCCGTACACTCTGAAACTGCCGACCCTCTATGGAACATTGTCTCTGCCACTGTTCTATGAACACTTTACGTTGAAAGGCCGGACAACGAGTCTATTGATAACCGATCTTTCGTTTGGCGCTTCTCGTCTAACGTACACTTCTGCCTCTGTCCTCTTCGCTGGAGTGATGGGTGGACGAGATGTCCTTGTACTCTATGGTGAAGAAGATGAAGGTTACGAAGCCATTATCAAACTCCATGGGCGACCACGATCCTTCACAAGGTCTCCAAGAGTATCTTTGATCGATAATTTCTTATCTGTGGATATCAAAGGGACCTTAATTTCCTTCCAGCCTGGAATACGTGGATTGATAGAAGTATGGGACTCTGATACCTTATTAGTCCTGTACTGTGATAGAGAAATGGCCACCTCCTTCCATGCTCCTTCCATTCCTGGGCCATCAGAGGATCCATTCAACGAATTCTGGGGGATCGGGACGAATAGCTCGGTATTGATTGGAGGACCATACCTCGTACGTAGTGCACGCATTGATGGACCAACTCTCGCTTTTCAAGGTGATATTCAAGGCGACACCATGTTGAGGCTCATTGGAATCCCTCCTTCTGTCCGTCGTATTACGTGGAATGACATGGAAATCGAAGGCTTTGCAGGTTTTGACGATACTCCAAGCGTGCTAACAGGGACTTTGCAGACACGAAAAGCCTTCAAGGAGATCAAAGTGCCAAAGCTGGGACCATGGAAGTATCGAGACAGTCTTCCAGAGATCAGCGATGGTTTAGAGGAAAGTGAATGGGTCATTGTATCAAATACTACGACAAATAGTCCCTACAAGCCGTACTTTGGTGATGGACCGGTGTTATACGGCTGTGATTATGGTTTTTGTGAGGGTGCCTTAGTTTGGCAAGGAACCTTTAATGCTACGGAAGACCTCGAGGGTGTCCAACTGGTGATAAATGGGGGTGAAGGTGAGGTTTTCCCTTGCATATGACTTTGAAGACACTGACATCTGCACAAAGCTTTTGCGGCTAGTATCTGGCTTAATGGTCATTTCCTCAAGTCGACATACGGAAAGTGAGTATCGAGGCAATGGAGGAATTGTGATCGTCAACTCTCTTTAGCTCCACCAGGAACACGAATATTATTTCAGAAACAAATGAAACTTATCATTTCGGGCACCATCTTCTTCTGGACAAGCCGAATACTCTGACAATACTTCAGGTATCTAGTAAATATGTTCCAAGGCTGATATCTGATCATAATCCTGCAGGACAATATGGGACTTGATGAAACTGGCAATCATTGTAAGGGAGCTATGAACTTGATGCAACTTTGCTGACAAGACCATAGACAATGCAAACGCGTCTAAATCTCCTCGCGGGATCCGGGGATATTCTCTATTGCCATCCGGTACATTCACAAGCTGGAGGGTCCAAGGTAGACAAGGTGGATATAGAAGGTGAGTCCATCCATTTGACATGCTCAATAACAGGGCAACGCGTTAAATTAGTCATCTTCCAGCTATCCAGACACCTATCGCGGAATCTTTAATAATGGTGGCTTATACGGAGAGCGGAAAGGATGGCATCTGCCTGGATTTCCAGATTCTGACTGGGCAGTACGGGCTTTGGAGCAAGGCATACCTGATAAGGCGGCTGGAGTTGGCTTCTTCCGCACTGAATTCACTCTAAGCATTCCCAAAGGCTTCGATGTGATGATGAGCTTTGAGTTCGAGGACC